TCAACAAAAATTGCCTATGATTACTTTAGGCATAAAGGTACTTTGAAGCCGTGGGGAGGAGAAGTTTGGAAGCCGTGCATCACTCCGAAGCATTCTTTCTTGCTTTGGTTAGCGGCCCAATCAAAGCTGCTAACTAAAGACAAACTACTCTTCTTGAATATTGATCGGAGGTGTGTCTTTTGTGTACTTTTTGAGGAAATTTGTGACCATCTATTCTTTAAGTGCTCCTTCACTTCCTCATTATGGGGGAGCATTAGGAGATGGCTTGGCATCACAAGATCTATGTCTACACTTGCCATTGCGCTTAAGTGGATGAAAAAGGAGAATCGTGGAACTTCGTGGCTGACCAAGACGAGAGAGTTTCTCTTGCTAGCACAGTTTACTACATATGGCTTACGAGGAATAGGAAGATTTTTGAAGACCTCCCGGCCGACTTGGATTCTATTACTAAAAGGATCAAGACACACGTATACAAAGTCATGTTTACTTTATATCCGGATGTCTTGATTCTTTTTGAATCCTTGGCCGTGGATCATTGATCTCTTATGTATTTTGCCTACTTTGTGTCTCCCGGGTATGCCCGGAGTAGTTGTTTTGGTTTTGGATTTTGATTTGCCCGGGAATGCCCGGTGTACTTGTACTTATCATTAACTTTGTTTCGCCCGGGTATGGCCGGTGTACTTGTATTTTATTTGGACATTGTCTTGCCCGGGTATGCCCGGTGTATTTGTACATGATACAGTTTTGATCAATATATTCACATTTACCGATCAAAAAAAAAAAGAAAACACACATTTTCATCCAAGAAGTTGGCCAAAAATTACACTTAACAATTTTTGACGTCAACCTAAGTGATTTATTGCCTATAAGAACTTTTTTTTATTTATAAGTTATTTATTACTTACGAGTAAAAATTCTTAGCTCTTATTTACTTGTAAGTAAATTTATTTATTTCAATTTAACTAATCTTTTCTTCATTCATAACAAAATGATGAATAAATTGTTTGAGAAATTACACCAATAATTGTGCATATTATATTCAAAAAAAATCATGTTGTTTATTTGCGTGAAATCGAAACGTAATTTCGACTTACCAAAATGGATTTGAGAAGCAAAACAATAATCTATCGAATCTGAACGTATCATATGGATTCATCCCTTTCAATTCTTGAACGAAATCAAGTCATTCTTTGGATAGAATCTCGCAAAAACATACAATGAAGTTAATCATTTTCTGAAATCAAAGTATAATTAAAAAAAAATCAGAAAATGAGGAAAAAAGGAAATACAAATGATGCGATCGGCCGAGGCAAGTATTTGACATTTTCTCCTTAAAATGAATTTGTCTCGTATCGGTGCTAACGGTTCTCCGGCAATCATCCCCTAAGATATAACGACCACATCAAGCCATAGGAGCACTCTAAATGATTTCGACCAACGAACTCGAACGGAGTTCCCTCTCTACCACGACCATGATTTTGATGCAAAGTGGAAACACTTCTATAAAGTGTTTTATGCAACATGACATGAAAGAATAATTTTTGTGTAATGAAAATAAAAGTCCAAACGATATTATATATAGAAGTTGAAGGGACGTACCCCAAATTTTAATTTCCTTCAAATATGACCAAATTTCTCATTTATATACACATTGGTCCTCAACCAATTTCCAACAATCCCCCACATGAATGAAAATTTCACATATGCAAATGATAATGTAGACACTAGTAGAGAGAGAGAGAGCGGAAAACATTGCATCAGGTAAGGCAGCTTTTGGTTTTGAACCTTCCTTAGTGAAATACTATCGAATTTATTAGTTAATTGGTAAAAGCAATGTTCTTGAAGTATCGACCGTTGTTGTAAACCAAAACAACAGTACTCACATAATGTCTCCCATAAACTGTTCATGATTCTCATGACTTGGTTCATTTGGGCCCTGAACATATCTTGGTTCTGTAAGTGTTTAGAAAATTCAAGCCTTAAATAATTCTCACTGAAGCGGCCCCACTTCACACTCCCATAAGTGACCTTCTGTTAAGAGTATTCTCCCCTACTCCACTTGGCTTAGTCAAGATATAGGAGTCATTAAAAGTTTATCTTAACCTCCAACTACTCCGCAAAAAGTACTTTGGTATCATATGAATGAGTTAGGAATTTAGTTTCCTGAGTGTTTCATGGAATCATCATAACTTAGTTGTCCCTTTGAACTAAGATATTGGGATCTCCAGTCTACAAGATTGGGTTACTATCATAAGGACTCTTACTCAGTAGGCTTAATCTCATTCCATTCGATATACAGTATACTTGATCTCTTTGTAAACATATATAAATGGATCCACAAGTTCACACCAATGAGATCAACTGCTTGTGGCATTATGTCTACGATTTACACGTCTAAACTTACCATTACACGTGACTTAGTATCTTTTCAAATTTAGCTAGCCAATGATTGATTCATTTGATAGATACACATTGTCACCATCAAGAAATCATTTCATGAAGTTACATGCTTCTCATTAGCTTTATCTAAAGCTTTGTCAACACGATTGGAGGATTTTTATCAAATCGTTACTCTATTCAATCATATTCACTAGTGGATTTTATACATGGGTACTCAATATCATCATTAAAGCATTGCATTGCATTCGAACTTTATGAATATTCTCAAAAATTCCATTTGTTCTTATATATCCAAACAACTGTCATGATCGGCTTTCATCCAATTTTATCTACTTTAGCGCTTTCATCAATTTTCATCCACTTTAGACTTAGTGTATATCATAGCATCACAATATCCTTCCAATACCGCAAGATATTTTGTGAAACGTAATCAACAGATCATGGTATATTTCAAATACCTAAGGACCTCTGTCATTGCCACCCAATAACCATGGCCTGGATTACTCGTGAATCTATCAAGTTTAATCACAGCAAAAAGATTATTCGATCGAGTTCAGTTCGTAATATACATTATAATGCCAATTACTTGTGAATATCTCGGTTGTGACACGCTTTCACTCTTATTTTGACCAAGTGTAAACTTGTGTCAATAGGGTTTTTACCGAACTTTCCTCTAATACTTCAAACTTTTTAAATATTTTCTTAACATAATGAGATTGGAAAAGTACAATTCCTTTCGATGTTCTAGAGATTTTTATCTCTAGTATTACATATGTCACACCCATGTCGTAAGAAATTTCTTAGCGTTTAGCACCACTTCGTGACTATTGCTCATCATCAACATATCGTCTACATATAGACACACAATCTGGTATATTTTTCATGTATACACAATTGTCCCATTCATTTATATTGAAGTCGTTTGACAATATCGTTTTGTTAAACTTTTGGTATCACTGCTTAGGAGCCACATAACGACTCAACAAATTTACAAACTTTATGGCTTTCACTTGGAGGCACCTTCAAGTTATTCCATGTATATCTCTTTTTCTAACTCACTGTTTATAAATCCCATTTTCACATCCATTCGGTGAATTTCAAGGTTATGTATTGCTGCAATTACAATTAGTAACCTTATCGAAGTTATTCTAGTCACGGGTGAGTAGGTAAAGAAGTCAAATCCTTCTTCCTGCATATATCCTTTGGCAACTAATTTAGCCTTATATTTGTCAATGGATCTATCATGTTTTATTCCATTTACACTCTAAAAGCTTATTTTCAAGAGGTATATCTACCAATTCCAATGTATGAATTTGCATTATGGAATCTATCTCACTATTAATAGCTTCCTTCCAATGTAGTGCGTTCGGAATAGACATTATTGCTTCTTCTGAAGTTTTTGGATCATCTTCTATCATATATGTTAGAAAATTCGGATAAAACGAAATGGACATTCTAGCCCTCTTACTATGTCTTAGTTCTTCCTCATTTGAAGACTCATTTGTAGTTTCATATGTTCTGTTATTCAAGTCACATTTTCCTTATCTTTGTAAGGAAACACATTCTCAAAGAATATCACATTCCTTGACTCAATTATGGTACCTTCATGTATATCTGATTTTTATATGAGGAAACGATATGCACTACTATTATTGGCGTATCCAATAAATAAGCAATCAATCATTTTTGGACCAATCTTTATTTGTTTAAACTTAGGAATTTCTACTTTTGCCAAACACCCCCACACTTTTAAGTATTGGTAGGAAGGAGGATGACATTTCCATAACTCATATGGTGTCTCTTCCAAAATGTGCATGAAAGTGTAACTTTAAACTAAGTTATGCCTACAATTCCTAAATTAGGGTTATATATCCAAGTAGTAGCGTTGTACCCACATGACTTGAACTTTTCACATAAGTTCTCAAGCATTTATGATAACCCCCACACTTTTAGATTATTCTTGAACTTAGAGCTTATCAACTTTTTCATAGTTTAATCCATTTATTACTTAGATAATATCTATATCAAATATTTGGTGAAAGTCTAAGTACTTACAAAATAGTTGTTGCTTCACATGAATGAAAAATCATTTTCCATTCGAAATTGTACTTCAATCAACCATATTAATTTGAACATCACTAGACCAACAACGCTTTTTCAAGCATAAACCAACTTAATTGATTCCACAATTGAAGTCAAATTCAACAATGAAGAAGACTAAGCTTCTTCAACCATGTGCAACTTTTATATTTGTGACATTTCACAAATAATATTATTCACATCAAATAATGAGGTACATTTCACCATATTCACATTTGAATGAATTAATCAACCATCGATTAAAAAGTTGTGTTTGCAAATAACACAACCTTACAAGAGGACACACCTCTTAAAATTATTTCTAGAATATTTCATAATATTATTTGCAATTTTTGCATAACAAAATTTTTATCATTTACAAATGAATGTCATTTTACAATCATTATTTTTAAGGATTTCCGGCACACCACCAACTATAGACACCATTTTTGCTCTATAAAATATTTTTATATCCCAATAATTGGGCAAGCAATTTTCACTTTAAAATGATTAGGACAAAACCACATTTTGTCACTCTTATACAACTATAATTTTGCACTAGTCATCTCATTTAATTTCACAGAATTAATTGAAGTTATCATCATTAGTTAAGGTTTGTATAATTTTCAAACCAAAATTCATTGACATATATCGGCTTTAAAACTTCATACCATATATGTTACTCACCGGATTGACGCATACCGTGTATATAACTTACCGTATATGCGACTTATCGTATATGCTGCCGTTCACCGTATATACAACTTACCGTATATGCGACTTACCGTATTTGCATCTTACCGTATTTACAGCATACCGTATATGCGTATACCGATTTACATATACTGACCAAAAAGTCTCCGAAATCCAAACC